CCCCCCTCCTTCTTTCCCATTGCCCCTGCCAATCCGTTGTTAATAAATGAGGAATCGGTCACACGAATTGAATTCCAACAAGTCGCATCCAGCAGTCCAACGCGCCACCGTCTGTCCATGAATGAATGGAATTATTATTTTCGAGTATGGAATTGTTAAAGCTCAAGGAGCAGCTTCTTGGTATGAGTCATGTACGGGAGGCGTTTCAGGTGTGCCCCCTTCTGTTCCCTCGGGCTTATGTTTCCTGCGAAGTAAGGCTGATGCATAAGGGTGCACGTGCAGTCGTGTATACCAACACCAGACACGGGTGCACACGCACACGACCCTACGGCAGCTCAACGCATTATTTGGCGGAAGTGTGTGCGTTTCACGTCGGACTTCCCCCACCACATCATGAGGCTGGACTTTCCCGCCTCGGGTGCATCGCAATGCAGGGGGTTCATTCACCAACCGGGCATCATTTCCCATGGTGGAACGAGTACAGACGAATCTCACGCCCCTGTTTGGTGTTTGGTGCAATCCAATTTTTGCAGAGTGGCGGTCGTCTGTAACACATCGAATCCTACCCTAAATGAACTCCCCACCAAACCATCCTTTTTATCAACAGGACCACGCATCAGCCAAGGCCTCAGTAGCGCCAGTACATTGCCTAATGCGCTTCAATGCGCGTAGAATTGCGAACAAAAGTTTTACTCGTTCGCCTCGGGCTCGGGGTGCGGTGGGTTGAGTGTGAGGTTTGGTTCTGGGGGTTCAGGCGCGACGCTCTCGTGCTGCACCACGCACCACACCCGCACCCCGCCTTGGCAGGGTGCTTGAGGATCATCACTCGAAAACAAGCTCGTGGCAATAACGGATTCCGGTAAAGCTGAAATGCAGAAGAAAACGGAAATCACTATGCTTTAACATGGTGACTTCCGTTTTCTTGTTCCTCGCATTCTTCTGCATTTGAGCTTTACCGGCATGCTTTATACCGCTAAGCAGCGGTCTGTCGTTTCAGCTTCAATGCGCCCCGGCAGGCGGCCGCCGTCCCCTACAAACATGCTAGGCGGGTTGGCCTACCCTGTGCGTCGCAGGCGTTGTCACTGGCGTCCACTTGAAAACGTTCATTGTGGGCACCTGGGGCACCTTCAAGAGGCACATTCCTGCGAGGCGACGACGCGAGAGCATGTTAGAGAACGTATCAGGTACCCATCGCTCTCTAGGAACGTCATGTGGGATCAAAGGCGATGGGTGCTGAACGGTGCCGAATAAACGTGTTCTCTCATCGCTCTTCATCTAGACTCGCCTCGGTGGCGTTGCTTGAGGAAACGTCTCCTCAGAGAACGTTCATTATGATGGCCCTGTTTGAACTGGGGTCACATTGGCAACGAATAATGATTAAAGGAAACAGACATAGGCATATATTGTTTATTGATTTTTCAAATATTGACTGTCTAGTACACTTTCTTTGTTTTCCAACACGGTTATTGTATAGGCCTAAGAGGGTATTCGGCTAAACTATGCAAATCATGAAAGGCTTGAATACCAACTGAGAAGAACCACAACACACATTCTCCAAATTTCCAAGTAAACCTAACATACTTTAACATAATTCAACAAAATACTTCATGTTTACTTTCTTCCACTTGAGCACAATGCTGTGCCTGTACATTTGCCTATATATAACAGGATAAATAATATACATTTATAAACATAACAGACTTGAAAATCATTGACTCCCAAATACTACTACACTTTTCACATTATATACAAACAAAAATAAAGTTGAAAATGTTGGAGTTTAAAATATGAATTATTTAAAATATAGCACAACAAAACCAAAAAATATCACTTCACAAAATTAAAAACTCAAATTAATGGCTGGGGTTGATAAAACAGTTGTTGTACTGTGCTGCATTTCAGAACATTCACAGAATGCTCGATATAAATGAGAGTTGAAGGAGGGAAAAAGAGTTGTAGAGATCAGACGTATCAGAAATTGTCTCACAGCTTTTTCATTCCATATTAAGAACAAATCCTAGTATAAGTACTATATGCTTCCTCGTCCTATCAGAATTCAGACATGTCTTTCGACATCACTTTACATGGAAACATGTACGGACAAAGCATGATGAAGACAAAGTGCCTTTAAAGCTTAAAAACCTAGTAACCAATAGAGGTTGATTGACTTCATCACAACTTTCATCTCTTATTGCTACACTCATCTAAACCCTCTTTAAAGTGAAATTTCACAAGTGATATAACACCAACTCAACATAGCTTTCATTCATAGTTTAGAGTAATAGTCCTTAAAGTGACTATGGTTGGCAGTTCTGAATAGAACGTTTTATAATACAGAATGCATGCATACCGAAACAAAAGCTCATCAACTGCTGGAATGTATAGCCTGGTATAGCCAAACAACTTGAGAACAGTACAAAGATCAAAGAAATAAAATACCTTGGTAATAAAGGCTCTTTGGTTATATTCAACAATAAGTCATACAAGTTTCAGGTAATGCATTGAAAAATAATGCACTTACTTAAAGAAAATTTACGTGTTTTTAATATCTTAGGTCATTTAACTGCATTACAGTAAATGCTAGCATACCTCTTCCTTGAGTGTGGGGACACACTTTTGAGGAATTAAACACAATTATTAAATCCAGGATAAAGAGTTTCAATATCGTAACAACAATCAAAATTTGCCATGAAGCAACAAGGACAAGAAATTAAATTGACAAGAATATCTCTTAATCTCTGGAACCCCACCATTACAAGTAAGGAAAAAGCAAACTACAAACTCTTTTTAAAGTTTGCTTTGAAAAGATTTCTGAAAGCAAGAAAAATATTTGCCTTAATCACATCAAAGCGTATGCCCATTGCAAATATGGAGCAACATCTAAAAGCTCGATTCAGTGCATCACTACATTTTGACTACCACCTAATACTCACATAAAATGTTATTCTATAGTCATGTAAACGACCAACACTCATTGATAATTTTTTTACATTCAGTCATAATTAGGACAACATTTATGCTCAGTTGATCAATATCATAGCGAGAGAAGGCAAAAGGCTAAATACACATAGAAATAGAAACATTACTTTTCTTTCCTTTCACATTCACACATTGCATCATCGCTCATGTAGAACTTTTTTTTATAAGGAAGTCAGTTAAGAAACCTTTCAGATAGATAATCTCCAGCCAAGTGTAAATAATTATGGATAACCTCCACAGGCTATTCCTGAGTTTATATTATACAGAGATGAAAAGGAAGATACGTCTTTGATGCAGTTCACCAAACTGTACAGTGTTATTGAATAGTTTCCTAGACAAATAAACAAAAATGGCATTGTTATTTTATAATGGAACGTATAAAATCTTCATCTCATTGTGGCTGTTTTTATCTATCGGAAAGTGGGAGATTGAAAAATGAATTGAAATTTGACATTTGGACTTTAATATGAAGCCACTCTGTATGTTTCAACCATTTACTAAAGAGAGTTCTGATTCTTAATGCCTCATAAATATTTCTTCTACATTCTGATCTTCAAAAGATCTCTTTACAAAAAAACAAGACATGAAATAGTATATCAGATACTCATGCCAATCTTCATACGACATTGATAAAACTAATGATAATCAGGGGGGAAAATGAAGTGGGGCCTCTTTGAAAGATTACATTTTTTCCAGTCCATCGGAATTTTACAGAGCACCTACAATCAGTAATCTAACACCTGAAGCAGCAATGTTATGTTTCTGATATTTTGACAACAAAGTAAATGTAACTAGGAAAAACAATCATAGTTATTGTTGCTATTAATACATTACTTGAGATCTGTCTCATCATCCAACATATCTTCAATTTGATTTTCCCAGTTATTGGAATTTGTATTTTGACCATCATTATCTGCGACAACTTCATAATCTTGCAGCTCTGCCTCCAATTCCTTTTCCCAATCTTCTTCTGGGGTAGCGATGATCATTACAGGAGAGGGAAAAATTAGAAAAAGAAAATTAAAATAGGTCATAAGGAGGAAAACATCTTGTGAAAGCCTTGCTCAGCAATTTGTGCAGCAGCACTAAAAAATGTCAATGTGTTGCAACAAATTACATATGTAACAGACAGACACATGATCTCCAAAGAGACTACTTGCTA